GCTAGCCTGAAGAGAGACTGCGAATTCTGGTGGTCTCGTCGTGCAACAGAGATGGAAATGACCGCTGCCCTTAGTAACCATCGTGAGTTATTCCGTCTGATACGGGAAACGGGCAGCAGGAGACCTGGTGTTAGTGAAACTATACGTGACGAGAGTGGACAGCCTATTCACAACTTATCAAAACGCCTGGAACGTTGGGCTGAGCACTTTGAAAGGCAATTTAATCGGTCGGAATTGTTAGATTTCTCGCCGACCAGTGATCGCCCTGCTCCGTGGGCTGTTCCTTTGGACCCACCCTCTCGCTCAGAAGTCGAACATGAGATCAAACTGTTGAAGTTAAATAAAGCCGCGGGACCTGGTGACCTTCCTCCAGCCCTCTTCAAATTCGGGGGACCTGCTCTTGTGGATGATTTACAAAAGTTACTAGACAAAATATGGGAGCAGGAAACTGTCCCTACCGATTGGAGCCGCTCCATCATAGTCCCAATTTTCAAAGGAGGCTCACGATCGGAATGCGGCAGCCATAGAGGAATCAGTCTGATCTCCATCACCTCCAAATTGCTTGCCTCTGTCATCCTTCACAGACTGACTGGCACTCGTGAAAGCCAGATTCGCGAAGAGCAAGCTGGATTTCGTCGAGGTCGTGGCTGCATTGATCACATCTTCACCTTGCGTCAGTTGTTGGAGCACCGTCACATATATTGGCGGCCCACCATTGTCGTGTTCCTCGATATCAAAGGTGCATTCGATTCGGTGGATAGACATGCACTTTGGGACTGTCTACTCAGGAAAGGTGTGCCCGAGAAATATGTGAATATTATCCGAGCATTATATGCGCGTAGCTCGGGCAGAGTGAGGGCTTACGGCAAGTTGTCGTCGCCCTTTTATATCCAGCGGCGTGAGACAAGGATGCCCGCTGTCACCTTTCCTCTTCAACTTCGCTGTTGACGAAGTCATGGAAATCGCGTTCACAGGGCACGACTTAGAAGGTGTGGAGCTACTCCCAGGAGAACGACTTCTTGACTTAGAGTATGCTGATGATATTGCCCTGATCTGTGACAGCTCACAAACGTGTCAAGCGGCACTGGACAGATTAGCACTAGCTGTCCGTCACTTCGGGCTTTGCTTCGCACCCTCGAAGTGCAAAGCGTTTCTCCAAGATTGGTCTGGACCGCCTCCTTCGCTGACCCTTGGTGGGGATCAGCTAGAAGTCGTTCAAAAATTCAACTACCTGGGAAGTTGTATCAGCGCCCGTGGGATTGAAGATGAGATCACGAATCGTATAGCAAAAGCTCGGGGCGCTTTTGCTAACCTTCGCCACTTATGGCGCCGGCGCGACATCACTCTCACCCTGAAGGGTAGAGTGTACAATGCAGCAGTACGTTCGACCCTACTGTACGGTTGTGAAACCTGGCCGCTTAAAGCAGCGGACCTGAAGAGGCTAGTTACGTTCGACCACCGGTGCCTTCGTAATTTAGCTCACATTTGGTGGGAACACCGCGTGAGCAACGAGCGTGTTCGACGCCTTGTTTATGGCACAGGAAAAGGAAATGAACCGCTCAGCACCGTTATTTCACGCATCAGGCTCCGATGGCTCGGCCACGTGTTACGCATGCCAGCCCACCGACTTCCGCGACGTGTGTTGTTTGCGCGCCGGGGGTGTGGATGGAAGAAGAGGAGGGGTGGCCAAGCGATGACTTGGTCGAGAGGAATGAAGGCCCTTACTTCTGAGCTGGCCTCGGTTGGAGCGTCTCGGCTCCCTGGTTGGGGTCCGAAAGACGATGAACACGTTTGTTTGGACACACTTGCTGATATGGCTAGGAGCCGACCTCAGTGGCGTTCGTGCTATGAGTTTCTTTGTCCCACCCCATCCCTCTTAGCCTCCCCCTCCAACCACGATCTCATTATTTAGCCTTATATAATTTTGCATATTAATTTTTTTTGGGTGCAAAGCAGCCGGCTGGTAGCTTACCGGAACGATGCCCATCCGTTACCGGTAGCTCAGCCAGCTTGCACCAGTTGCTTTTTTTTCTCCTTTTTTTCTCTGTATTGCGGCACAGTAGCTGAGGTGTTCCCCACCTCTAGCTAACGTGTATGATGATGATGATGATCATCGCTGCCTTCGCAGCTTATCTCATGTCTGGTGGGAGCACCGCGTGAGCAATGAGCGTGTTCGACGTCGCGTATTTGGTGCAGGAAGAGCGAGTGAACCGCTCAGCACCATTATATCACGCACCAGGCTCCGATGGCTGGGCCACATGCTGCGCAAGCCAGCACACCGACACCCGCGACGTGCATTGTTTGCGCGTTGTGGGTGCGGTTGGAAGAGGAGCAGGGGTGGTCAAGTGATGACTTGGTTGAGAGAAATGAAAGCCCTCACTTCGAAGTTGGCGTCGGTTGGTGCATCCCGACTGCCTAGCTGGGGTCCTAAGGACGGTGAACACGTTTGGTTGGACACACTCGCTGATATGGCTAGGAGCCGACCCCAATGGCGTTTGTGTTGTGAGTTCCTTTGTCCATCCACCTCCTGCTTAGCATCTTCCTCCAATCATGATCTCACTTGATAGGTATAATATGACCCTCTTTTACGGCAGCCAGCTGTTAGCTCTCCGGAACGATGTCCATCGGTTACTGGGGACTCAGCGGGCGTGCCACTGTTTGTTTTCTTTTTCTTGTCTTTTTTATTGCGGCACAATTGCTGAGGTGTTTTCCACCTCCAGCTAACGTGTAATGATGATGATGATGATGCGATCATTGGTGAAATGAAGGCGTAAATTCTGGACTCGTTTCAGGATTACCCGTTTTGAGCTTGACTACTGCTACTACAAAGCTGTCAGGACTGCTTGCAGCATGAAAAAAACGCGAGAAACGTCGAAAATACGAGCTGTCATTAGTTACACTTTCTATTATAAACTCCAAGACACTTCTCATACCTCAAACGTAGCACCAAGGCTGGCAGTGGTGTCCCTGCCTTGTCTCCCTGTGAGCATTTGGACCTAGTTTACGAAGACGTTGAGAAAGCTAGCCTTTTGGCCCAGCAATATTCCTCTGTCTGCTCGACCGAAATGCCACTTCCAGGTGGCGTTGCGCCCACTCCTTCCCTGTTTGAGCACGTGAATGTTAACACTGACGTTGTAATGAAACTTCTTCTTGACCTAGACCTGTATTCCTCGCCTGGTCCTGATGGTTTACACCCATTGTTCCTTAAAACCGTGGCTGGCACGTTGCCGCTCCTGTCTGTCAAGTCTTCCGTCGTTCCCTTGAGGTGGGGCGGCTTCCAACTGCTTGGAAGGTGTGAATCGTTAAACCGATTTAAAAAGAAGGGAACCGACAGAATCCAGCCAGCTATCGTCCCATCTATCTGACTTCGATTTTGTGCAAAGTCATGGAACGGATTCTGAAACGGGCCCTTCGCCTTTATCTCGATGCGTTGGAGTTCCTCTCATGCCGAGTATGGTTTCCGAAGGACGCGTTCATGCTCCACAAATTTGCTGGTGGCTAGGGAAAAACGGTTAAGTTCCTTCGATGCTGGTAAGCGTCTGGATGCTGTGTTTGTTGATTTCAGTAAGGCTTTTGACAAGGTCCCGCATGAGCGGCTCCTCTTCAAACTCCGGGGAAGCGGCGTCACTGGCAATTTTCTTTCTTGGGTCTCCGATTTCCTGGACGGTCGCTTCATGCAGGTTAAAGTTAATGGATCGCTTTCTGATCAAGTTCTCATGGCCAATGGGGTCTCCCACGGTTCTGTACTCGGCCTCGAACTCTTCAATATCTTTATCAACAATCTACCATCCCAACTGCAGACCGACAGCTTAATCTACGCTATTGATCTGAAACTGTAGGTTGAGGTATCCAGTCTGGAAGATGCAGACAGACTTCAAGCGACACTCGATCTGCTCCACGATTGGTCACTAAAGTAGCAGATGCCCATTAGCCGTGACAAATGTGCTATCCTTGCAATCGGTGCGCCTGAGCCTCTTGGGGCTTGCCATATCTGGGCTTTCTTGCTCAGAAATGTCAACCAAGAGAGGGATCTCGGGGTGATTGTGTCTGCTGATCTCAAATCAATCGAGGACACCCGGAAGAGGGTCGCATCCGCCTACAGAATACTTCACGCTATACGGAGAGCGTTTTCACGCCTGACCCCAGCACTCTTGAGACTACTGTTCTTCGCATGTGCGCCCAGTTCTCGAGTACGGTTTGCCTGCTGCGTATCCTCTCACAAAGTCCGAACGTGGCATGATCGAGAACGTTCAACGGCGTGGACCCAAATCCGTTCCAGAATTGCGAGATTTATCTTACCTCCTATGGCTTCAACCGATGAACCTGTTCCCTTTGGATTATCGTCATCGCCGCGGAGATATGATATTCACACGGCGTATTCTACGAGGTGAGCTGGGGAATGAGCTGCAATCGTTCTTTCGTCTCAACACAAGGTGTGCAACTCGAGGCCACCAGTGGAAACTTTGCAAACCGCGGCGACTCCGTGTGCGGTCCGATCTGGCCCTATCCACCCGGGTAGTCAGAGGCTGTCGTCGATGCGGAGACAGAGAAATGTTTCAAACGACTGTTAGATACCCACTCTCTGAGTGCTCAGGGATTCTGCTGTCCACACTACAACCATAGCGGTCTTCCGCGGAACCTTGTTCCGCAATGATTCCAGCAACCTTCGCAGCATTCGGGAAGTGACGGAGCTGACAAAGGAACTTCCTTTTACTCTCTACCAACCAATGAAAACCCAGCATGATACGGAATCTATGGGGCTGATAAGGGATTTCCCTCCTGCTCTCTGCAACTCAATGAACTCAATACATATATGAAAAGGTAGTGGCAGAGTGAAATACGTAGTACGTGAAAGAGATGACACGGGACCTCCATTCTGCTCTCTACTACTCATGGAACTTAATGAACAATGAATTCATAATTATTTATATATGGTCTATTAATCGTAGTCTGATCTCATTCGTAAATCTCACATTTTACTGTGATGTTTCCGTTTTTAGCGCACTCCGCATTTGTTAGCTGTTTTTCGAGACTTTCCTGTCCATCATTTCTTGCGTGATGTGGGGTGGTGGTGAAAATGATGCAGCTACTTTGGAGAATGAAGCCATTGTCGATGAAGATATAGTTGATGATGAAATTAATTTTGATAGAGCTCTTCCGGGGCTTCACAAGGTTCGTGTATAATATTCCACTCTAATTGATTCAGTATTTGGGAGGTGACTTCGTTGAAGTCACTGGTCGAACATTTCTGGAGTCTGGAACTAAAGCTTGCATGCCGGCCTTCTATCGATCTGGCGTGATATTGGTGCCCGGACAGTCTTTACCTGTCAAGCCGTACAGTTCATACGAATCCAGCCTTTTGTTGAAGATTCATCGGGACAAAAGACCTATGACATTTCTCCCGGGTTGGTAGGTTTGTACTTTGTCATCTCTGATAATACGTTTGCCTGTCGAACCTTGCTATGTAGTTTATGCACATTCTGTACGAGTGTCCGATTGGCGTCCAATCATTTCCCGGCTGGCTACCAATTAGCGCCATATCTGAGTCTAGACATTATTCAGTTGCATATCGGACAGCCAAGGAAATTTTCGTGGTACTCCTTATGCAAATGTATATATACGTAAAGTATTGGTAGTCTATATAATTGACGTTGAGCCATTGAGTAACCATAGAATGAATGTGTACAATAAGTACAAAGATAAAATACCATGGTACACGATGCGTTTTCTGTGTTTTTTACACTATGTTTTCCTTTTTTGTCAGTCTAATGATTGCGGTTTTTATATATAGAATCAATGTAAAGACTCATTCAACCTTTTCATTGTCTGCGATTACGCACCGTCCTCAAGTCTCCAACTAGCGGTTCTTTATCTAACTCCCCAGCCCGGAAAACGGACGGGACCGACTACAGCTAGACTGAATGTCAGCGCTTTGACCTTTTGTCGCCATTTGGTAGGTAGGGCACCGCGCGAGTCCCATTGCGGCTCTGCGCTAGCGAGCAGAGCGCGCCGTTATAAACACGCGAACGGCATGCCTAGAACATGACCTAGCTAAGTTGGCGCCGCGATATTAGCTTGCCGTGAGGTAGGCCCGTATTACCAAGGACGCGACGTCTAACACCGACGTTGCTAACATGCTGTTCCCACCACACACAAACTATCCTGCGTAGACAACCGTTGTCAAAGGCTGAACTCTGCTCAAACCCTTTACGCGATCCGGCCAGAACTCGCTTCTGTAAAACAGGACCTCGCGAACCCAGACACGCTAGATCCAAACTTTCGTGTAGCACTTTGGGAAGCAAGAAGACGTCCGCGATCACCAAGTCCTTTATTAAGATTGCGCTTGTATACTTAAAGAGTGTATACGCCATTTGCAACAGTGAGCTACTATGGCTCATCCTTGTTATCTGTATTCTATCTAAAATTACCTTGATTTTATTGGTGCATTGTACGGTTGACTCGCTTGGGCACTCGTCCGGCAGGCCGCGCGCTCCTTCCCTCTGTCCAGTCCCACAAATCTTGGCTCAAGTATATGGTTCGCGGCATCCGGTTTTGGTTTTACTTGTCACTGTGGCCAGCCACAGGACGCCCGAGCCTACAGAGGGACCATAGATGGCTTGCGCTGCACCACCCACAGCTCCAACCACACCCCATATCCAATGTGAACCCGAAGCAATAAAACCGGGAGGCATGTGGATGGGAGCCACGTTTCATCAACGGAGCCGGCCCACACTCCTTCACAGTCAAACACAAGCATGCTGTATTTGGGAATCAAACGCACACACAAGGCGGTGGCTGGACCGTAGTCCGCTCCACAGAGTGCATAGAACCGCTCTTCGAGCCTAGCACGGCCACAAGGACCGTGCACCCCGTCCCCTCCAGCAACGACCAACTCTCTCCTAGAGCCAGTATGGAGGAAGTAGTGGGTAATAGACAGGTAGGTACCTTCTCAACAACCACATCAAGCGGAGCCACACCGGGGTTGTCAGACAACAACCAATAACTTGAAGCGACGTTATCAAATAAAATAAAGCGGATAATGCATACGTATAAGGAGACATGACTCTTCACTAAATGAACGTATGAAATAACGTGGTGGCAAAAAAGACCGCGGAGGATCCAATACGTCAGAAAATATCTTTTAAGAAAATGCCACAACCGCGAAAATATTATAGAAATTAACTACAATTAGCTTAAGCGATGTGTGCAATTTTGTAGAAGAGAGTTTAGGTACACATTAATATGAGATAACAAGGCAATAGGACAATATAGCAAACCCACCACCTGAAATAAAGAGGCTCAGCATGTAAGCACGCGGTTAGTAAATCGGATACACCTACAAACGTTACGCCGGTTCTACCTACGTTCCCTGCATGACCCGTCGTCGATTCAGTGGTGGCCCTGAGTGGCCTCGCTCATGACTCACTAGACCTGCCTGACTCAGGCACTCGCGACCGCATGTGCTACAGCACCATGCGCTTGATGTCGATAGAGAACAACCCATCGGTGATTGCCGCTTCCGCACTTGCCGCTTCTTCTCTGCATGCACGAGGGCTTTCCCTTGCACCTTGGCAACGGCTTTCGTGATTAAATCGCGCCATGCACGCCAATCAAACGTCTTCGATTCCCATGATCTGCAATCAAGATTAGAACGTGACTCACTTTAATCATGTCCTCCTAACGTAACTACGGTTTCCCCACATGCCACTTTCCAATACTCAGTTGACCATATAAGAGTTATTTCGGTACCCGCGTCGAATCCATACGGCTCACATGACCGAGCCACCTCAGGTGTCTCAGCAGAAGTATGCAGTCCACTGCGTACATTCCACTTCAGCACAACACTTCCGTGTCCGCAACTCTGTCGCCCCAACCGACGTGCAGAATCCTCCGCAAACACTTGATGGAACCGCTCGAGGTATCGCACATCCCACCGGTACATCGTCCACGCTTCGCTGCCGTATAGAAGAACGGACAGCACCATGGATTTGTACACCGTCAGCTTCGTGCCAACGGTAAGCTGATGGTTGTTCCACACTCGGTACTCAAGCTTCCTCCAATGCCACCGCTGCTCTCGAGACCCGGATACAAAGCTCACTGTGAAGCTCCTGGTCAGTTGACATCACACTCCCAGGGTAGCAGAAGCGGGAGGTGATTTACAATACGTCAGCACCAATGCTGATTTTCAGTAATATTGTAGATTGCCCCTCTGGTGAAGGCTGAAGGAGACAGACAGGTTTGCTTGTGTTGATGGTGAGCCAGAATTTGGCCGCTGTCGAAGCCAGAGCACTAGTCATGTGCTGCAACTCATCTGTGCTGTGTGCAAACAACGCACAATCGTCAGCAAACAGCAACGTACGGATAGTTGCCTCACAGACTAGAGTTCTCGCACCGAAACGACGAATGTTCAGCAACCCGCTATCAGTTCGGTGCTGCACACGAACACCGTAAGCACAAGCCGCGTTAAAAGCACAAAACATCATTGCACAAAGATAAATATTAATCAGGGCAGGAGCTAAGACACTGCCTTGTTTCACAACAGAGACAACTGCAAAGTCATCCGAGGTCTATCCACTCAGCTGCAACCTCGCCCGCATACCACTGTGCAGACATTCAATTAAACTTACAAACTTACGCGGGCAACCAAACTTACCCAACACCAGCCACAATGCCTCTCGGTTCACCGTATCAAATGCCTTGGTGAAATCAACAAAAAGCAAATACATTGGCTGGTGCTGTTCTCCGCACTTCTCCTGCAACTGACGAGCCGCAAACACCATATCTATAGTGCTGCGACCCGAACGGAATCCACATTGCTCTTCCGCCACGTTAGGTTCCACAACCTGACTGACGAGTCGGTTGAGCAGGAATCGGGTAATCATCTTGCCCATACAACTCAGTAAGTTGATGCCACGATAATTCGTGCAACATTGCTTGCTACCTTTGCCCTTGTACAGTGGTAGCACAAGGGCATCCTTCAGCTCAGCAGGAACCTCCTCCTCAATCCACACGCGTTGCACCAAGTGGTGCAGCGCAGTCAACAACGCGGGTCCACCGTGTTTCAATACTTCAGGTGGGATCCCGTCACCTCCGGCACATTTGCCGTTTCGCAGCTGAGCAAGTGCTCTCTGCGTCTCATCCAGTGTCGGCGTGTCCGCCAGACTCGTCTTCACATCGTGCTGCTTCAGGCCGTTCAATGTAGGCCAGTCGATCTCTGAACGGTTGTTCAAGAGACAGTCAAAGTGTTTTCGCCAGACCTGCATTATGTCTGCAGTCTGTATGCAGGTAACGCCTGGGCTACCATCGATTAACGTCCTCAGCGGTTGCATTCTCGGTCCATACACCGCCTTCAAGGAGTTAAAGAATTCCTTATGTTGTCGGCGTTCGGCGTAGCATTCCATCTGCTGCGCCTTCTCCGTCAACCATGCATTTTTAATGCGACGGAGCTCTCGAGTCAGTCGTCGTGGTAGTTTGCGAAACTGACTATTCTTCCGCAAGTCACTGGGGTCTGCCACATGTGTAGCAAATGCTGCATTCTTCTCACACACCAATGCGCCGATTGGTGCATTGTTCTCATCAAACCAATCAGGCCGGTTACAGTTTGCGCGCCCGATGGTCTCCTCGGCAGCAGCTGTCACCTGGTCGCAAATGTGGCGTCACAGGTTGCCCACGATGGCTATGCATTCCACATCACACAGCCGTGTAGCCATCGCTTTCTCCAACTCAATACGTTTCGCCACAGTACCGAGGAAGAGAATGTTAATTTGACACCGATTCACGGCGGGAGTGCAATACATAGATTTACGACGATATATGTACAGTTTAGTCCGCACCAATTTGTGATCAGTGCCACACTCAGCTCCACGCAGTACACGTGTCATGCGCACTTCACGCATATCACGCTGAAGTACGATGACATAGTCGAGCAGGTGAGCGTGACCACTCCGTGGGAGCGTGCAAGTTGCTATCACACTGGCACTCAGTGCAAACCGAGTGTTCGTGATCGTCAGGCCGTGAGTAGCTCACAATGAGAGCAACCTGTCACCGTTCGCATTCGCTGAACCAATGCCATGCGGATCGATAACGTCTGTCCACAGTGATGCATCACGCCCAACGCGCGCGTTGAAATCACCCAAGAGAAATAGTCGGTCGCTTCTCGGCACAGACCGTATCACGGAGGATAGCTCAGTGTAGAACTGATCACGCGTGTCATCAGGATAACACATGGTCGGACCGTACGTGCTTATAAAAGTGGCAAACTTACCTCTTCCGAGTCGTAGGCGAACAGTCATCAGTCGCTTGCTGATACCTGTTGGTTCACCCACGAGCTGGCGATAGAGGCGATCGGATATTGTAAATCAGACCCCATGATCACGTGGTGCTGAGGCGGCGTTGCCCACCTAGT